TGTGTATGATAACTAGATTACTGTTCAAGAAAACGAATGTGAGAGTGGTAAGTTGAGTGACAGGCACAGACAATAGCTTAGTGACACAATAACTTCACTGAATACATGAATCCATGCTGTGGGAATAGGGTAATGAAGGAGGAGCAAAAGGCTTTCTGAGGGGAGGGTGCACAAGCAGTGAAACGAAATGGAAGTGATTTATCAGTTTATGGAAAGCAAGGGTGCTGGGTATTAGGACTGGCTTAAGCAAAGATTTAAGGCTGGAGGAGTTTGAGGTTGAAAGAAACAGGAGGAAGTCCCCTAAACCAGCTGGTTCAAGACGTTGATACAGAGAAACATTTCATCAATTGCACTGATTGGCTTGGGTGTGTCTGAGGGAGTGTTGGAGAGCAGAGGCTAATCTCATGTTGGGTGGGAAAGGAGTTATCTAGTATTGAATGAAGTTGACTGAGGTATGTGTGAACATAGGATATGACAGAAAGCATTAAACCCAGGCTGTCTGGAGATTTGGCTCCTTTCAATGAAAGAACTTAGTTTTGTCCTCTGTGGTCATGAGTCCCAGAACTGTGTCTTTCTTAGCGGATTTAAATCTCTAAAACAGCATTAGGTCTTCCCCTAAGGCCTACCTAAACAAAATGGCCCTCTAGGAGCATGAGAAAAGTTCTGTGACCTTCTATATAGTATTAGAATATTTAAAACCAATAGTTGGCTCAAGTTCAATTGTCAGTGAAAAACTACGAGCTTGATAAGATCTTAGAAATCATCTAGTCTCTTCCTAACATATGGAAATTTAGGTAGAAAAATTATATTACATGCAACAAATTCAAGAATTCAGCTTTATCTAGTGAACTATGATATCATTCCTAATTTTGTTGGAAAAATGGATTCCCAACATTCTTGGAAGTATAGTACTGTGTCATTGTTGATCTGATTGTGACAGTGCTTCTTCTAAAAATCCTAAAGGAAAAATTTTTACTTTCTTTTCAGTCAAATTAAAATTGGGCAGTTTAAAGATGATTAAAGATATTATGGGCTGTTATGAAACCAGAGATTTAAAAAAATGATCTCACCAACAATCAAGTATTCAAATAAAAATCATCTGATTAACATTAACTCAACATTTCTAAACATATTTGAAGGTTTCTAGCTTACAGTGACCCCTGGTGTTATTTTGAAAAGCATGCAGTATGCTATTCATATCTCATCTTTAAGACCATCTACTGAAATAGCTACCAGCAGGAGTGGGCAAACTCTATATAAAGCAGCTCCTTCCCAGTGGCCCACAGGGTAAATAGCAAATTTCTCCACAGGAAATTAGGTTCTATGCACTAAATACACAAAAGAGCAACATTGTTTTAGGTAATGCTTGTACATGCTATTTAAAAAGTGTATAATCCCTGGGCCTGGCCCCTTGACTTAGCAGTTAAGTGCCCGCACTCTGCTACTGGGTGCCTGGGTTCGGATCCCGGGTGCGCACCGATGCACCACTTGTCCGGCCATGCTGAGGCGGCGTCCCACATACAGCAACTAGAAGGATGTGCAACTATGACATACAACTATCTACTGGGGCTTTGGGGAGAAAAAGGGAGAAAAAGGAGGAGGATTGGCATGGATGTTAGCTCAGGGCTGATCTTCCTCACACACACACACACACACACACACACACACACACAAAGTTTATAATCCAACCGTTTGGGAACTAAATTCATTTTATCAAATCTCAACTAGTAAAGCAATTGGAAAAAAGTGGTTATAGGAATTCGAACTTATCTATAGCCTAATGTAGTGGGAGGCATTATCCAAAAAGAGAGACATAAAAAATAGATATTTTTCAAGTCTTAAAATTCATAATTATACAGAATTATGTGTTCCCCCAAGAATGCCAAATTTAAGAAATTCGTTGCCTATGTAATAATATGTCACAAATCTAAGTAACTCATACTACATACCAGAACATTTAACCCTGAATATGCTATTGTAATGAAAACCAAGTTTTCACCTCAAATCTTTCAAGGAACATGGTGGGATGAAAAAGGAAAGAAGGACAAAGTGACAAAAAAAAACCCCAGAAAGTAAGGAGAAAAGGGGAGAGAGAGAGAGAGAGAAGAAAGGAGAGAAAAAGGAAGGGGAGAGAAACATATTATATATTGGGTGAACTGCTGCCTCCTGAGGACTGGAGCCTTGATCACCACTGAGTCCACTGGGCCTAGTACACTGCCCAAGGTGTTAAAGAAACAAGTATTCAATGACACTTGTTCAAGAACGGTGAGTCTGACTTTAGCGGACCATTGTGATAGGTATAGGGACTACTACAATGAGGTTTTGCAGTAGGGGAGAGAGATTGGGCTCGCCTCTGAATACGACAATGAAAAGTGGGAATTTATGGACAACTAGTAGGGTGGGGGCAGTGGGTAGAAAATTACTAACAGGAAACATCAAGGGTAAGGGGGGATTCTAACTAAACTGACCTAGCAGGATTCTTCCTAAAACTGGACGGTGCCGAGACAAGCACAGAAGCCCAAAAGTTGAGGCCTAGTTGGGAAGAGGATTCACAAGAGCCTGACTAAAGTTTGGTCAAGGAGAGACTCTGTCAAAGGCCCGTCAAATACTGGCAATTTCGTAAGTTAAACTTTCTAAAGCTGACTGATTAAAACTATGCGGAATGTGTAATTTAACACATATATTTCGTACCCACTGTGTTTAGAATCAGGTAGATGGGTGTAGTGCTCTCAGTCTGAATTTCTTCTTTCTAATCAGGCTTCACTATCCACTAGCTGTGTGGATATTATAAAGTTGTACATCACTGCAAAATATTATGCCACCATGATGGCGGTATGGAGCCCTTGGAGAAACACAGCAGTGGTAAGGTGATGTGTAAAGCTTATGGCCCAGCAATAAGGTAAAATATGCAAATAGGTCTATGTGCTGTTAAATTGGGATTATAAGAATGTTCCTCAGCCCAAAAAGTTTTCTCTAGTTGCTTAGACGATTCCTGAAAATCCTTAATAGAACACAGGGTTCTTACTAAAATATAGGAGATAATATAAAATGCAAATATTTTTACTAAAGTCTAGGATTGCACTTATTTCCTTTCTTAACAGCCTGAAATTGAAGGGGGAGAGAAGGGAAAGAAGAGGTTAAGACAAGGAAAAAAAAGTTGAAAACAAAAGCTGGGGACAATAAAAAGTAACTTTCTGACAAACAGGGCATGATTTCACTCATATGTGGAAGATAAACCAACACACGCACAGATAGAACTGTTCAGTGATTACCAGGGGCTAGGGGGGGTGGGGGCTAGGCATAAGGGGTGGAAGGATGCACTTATATGGTGACTGATAAACAATAATGTACAACAAAAATTTCACAATACAAAGAAAATAGGAAAAAAAACGTTAAAAAAAAAAAAAAAAGTAACTTTCTGTTACACAGTTTTCCTAAAAGCTAGGCCTCTAAAAAATACTCCATCAGAAGCAGTTGGTTTACAAACTGGTCCCCTTACACAGAGGGCAAGGAGAGACCAAAGAAAGAGGCAGACCACTTCGGATTGGTAGGTGGCAGTTTGATAAGCAAGGGGACTTACTTATGAGGCTTGTCTTGGGTGGCTGCAAGGTGGGTAGATCCCTGCACCCACCCGCCAAATCTTAGAAGTTTATGGAGAGGCCTTCACTGGGTTCAGTCACGTGTACTGTCCAGATGGTCTCAGCTACACCTTACTCCCTCAAGGCCATGACCTTGAAATAGCTCCACTGTGGGAACAATGGGCTGACCCTACATTCCAACGACAGAGGAGGGGGTGAGCAGCCTCTGATTGTCGGGGTCCAGCTCTCGGGTCAACTGGTGGTCATGTCCTCTCGATGACCTCTTCCAACAGAAGCAAGCAAAGGGAGAGAATCTAGGGTGCTGAGTTAGAGTGTTCCCAGTCATGGGTTTCTCTGAGATGGAAATCATAACAATGTGTTTTCTCTACCTAAGACCTCTGACTACATGGAACGACCTTACGATTGTACATTGGAGTTTACTCATGACTTCATGTGGAGCGAGGGGAAGGAAAGAAAACACCAACAGATTTTCTAATGACAATTATGTGATGGTAAACTGTAGGAGCAAACCTGAAAAATTCTAGATATCTATCCATAATGGACCAATTAAATAAGTTAAATAAATGGTGTTATGTCCATTCCATGTAATGGAATACTATAAAGCCATTAAAAGAAATGTAATAAAATCTATGTCTAATGACATCATATATATATTTATATACTTAGAAAACCATCTGGAAGGAGATATATATATCTCCTTTATCAACCCCCAAGTGATGTCTGATCACCCTGGCCTGCCTTCAGCAAGAATCCTGCTAGATCAGTATATATATATATATATAAATGGAGAACAAGACAAGTCCCCAGATAACTTCAGAACCACAGGAAGGGTTTATAGTTCCATGAAAGTTCAGAGGACAAACAAATCACATTCAGCTCGGTAGAAATGGAAAAAGAATTTTAAAAAATTGGTAGCCTTTTGGGGCCAGTCCGGTGGCACAAGCGGTCAAGTGTGTGCGCTCCACTTCGGCAGCCAGGGTTACAGGTTCAGATCCCGGACGCGCACAGCCGCCCTGCTTGTTACACCATGCTGTGGCGGCATACCATATAAAGTGGAGGAAGATGGACAAGGATGTTAGCCCAGGGCCAATCTTCCTCAGCGAAAAAGAGGAGGATCAGCATTGGATGTTAGCTCAGGGCTGATCTTCCTTACAGAAAAAAAAATTGGTAGCGTTTTGACAGGATGGTGAGCAGAGAAAATTCCATGAAAAGTAACAGACGGAGCAGAGGAATAAAGCTGGAAGGGGAAGCTTATTTCTAGAGCTAATAATAAGAAACAATATTAATTGAGCACTTCCTACATTCCAGGTGGTGTTCTTAGCTCTTTACACGTGTTATTTCACAATACTCTTATAAAGTAGGTATGATGGTTTTCACTTTAGAAATGCAGAAATTGAGGCACAGAGAAAGTAAGGTACTTGTTAAGATCATCCAGCCCATGAGAGGCATTGGCAGGATCCAAAGCCAGCCTGACCTTAGTCTCCCCACAGTCCCGCCTCGTGCAGATGGGGCTCTTAATTTGAAGGGCCTAAGAGACCACCCGAGGACGTTTTAAACTAGAGTAGGCAGTAAGACATCACTATGGTCCAGATGAGAAATCGTGGGAAGAGTTAAAGCGAGCGGGCCAGTTTCCTCATCTGCTGTCCAGTTCTGTGAGAAGTTAAATTCAGCCAAAATTCAGCTCTGTGAGAAGTGACAATTCTTCACGCCTCTCTCCCTCCCTCCACACGGAGGGAGAGCGGCCTCTTCAGACTAGGTGAGGTGTCCTGCTTTCTCATCAGCTCTGTGGTCTGTTCAATGACATTCTTATTTCTCCTAATCAGGATTAACTCCTAAAAGAGAGGAGAGAAATCATTTCTTACTTATTTTTATGATCCCTACTACTGCCAACAAATAAATATTTAACATGAATTAATATAAACATATATTCCTGTGTCCTGAATATCTGGTCACCTTTTTCTCTTTAAAAATATGAAATATTTCAAACAAACACAAGAGTATAGATACCAAGATAATAAACACACCAGCTATCCATTACCCAATTTTAATACATCTTAATATATGGCTATATGTATTTTAGATTTTTTTAAAAAGAAACATTACAGATATAGTAGAAGCTCCCTGTGTCAGCCTCTCTTATCCCAACTCTATCCTCTCCCTGCCCACCATCGTGATGTTGGTGTATTTCATTCCAATGCATGTGTTTTTATTTTGGTTATCTGTACTTTATTTTCCGTCAACGTTATTTTTAAAAAATTCCAATAGTCTTTTCTTTTTGAGTAGATGTGGTTCAAAATTCAAATGATTCAAAAGAGTATGCAGTGAAAAGTTTCTTTTCCACACAGGTGCCCAGACAGCACCTATTTTCACTTCCTGGAAGCAATTGATGTTTCCCGTTTCTTCTATCATCTTCCAGAGATGTTCTATGGATATTAAGTAAATACATATATATTCCTCTCTCTTCTTTTTTTTTTTTACTTAAACAGTAGCACACTCTTATGCATCTGGTTTTTTTCATTTAACAACACATTTTAGAGATAATTTCATACAGTGTATAAAGAGATTGCTTATTCTTTTGTCCCAGATGCACGGGATGTATAGACCATAATTTATTTAACCTGTCCTCTATTAATGAACAATCCATCTTTTACTACTACAAACAATATTGCAATAACTATTCTTGTTCACTTTAGTTCCCATATATGTAGTTATATCTATAGAATAAATTAGAATTGACACTTTTTTGGTAATATTAATCATAACGGATTGCCAAATTGTCCTTTCTTGAGGTTGTAATATATTTACACTCCCTGAAATAAATAAGTGCCCATTTTCTCACACTCTTTCCAATACTGCATATTATCAAACATTTCTATTTTTTACTTAAATACTATGTTTTTGAGATATAATACTGATACATGTGGCTCTAGTTCATGCATTTTTAACTACTGGGTAGCATTCAATTGTATAAATTGAATACACAGACGTCCCCTATTTACGATATTTGGACTTATGATTTTTCGACTTTATGATGTTGTGAAAGTGGTATGCATTCAGTAGAAACTGTACTTCGAATTTTGAATTTGTCTTTTCCTGAGCTAGCCATATGTGGTATGATTTTCTCTCGTGGTGCTGGGCAGCGGCAGCGAGCCACAGCTCCGTTAGCCACATGATCACAAGGGTAGACAACTGATACACCTACAACCATGCTGTACCCACAGACCATTCTGTTTTCACTTTAGTACAGTATTCAATAAATTACATGAGAGATCCAACACTTTACTATGAAATAGGCATTGTGTTAGATGATTCTGCCCAACCGTAGGCTAATGTGTTCTGAGCATGTTTAAGGGAGGCTAGGCTAAGCTATGATGTTTAGTAGGTTAGATATATTAAATGCATTTTCGACTTATGATCGGTTTATCGAGATGTAACCCCATCGTAAGTTGAGCAAGATCTGGGCTGCAATTTACTTATCCCCATACCCACTCATAGACAATTACTCTTTTCCCATGTCACTTTATCCTTGTCAGAGTGCCTGGTCCATGATAAATGTTTGCTGAGTGAATGGATGAACTATGAATCAGTGAGTAATAAGAAACATTGCAAAGCATGCTAGACATCTGGTATGGACTCTGAGGGAATGCAGTTGATATTTCCCACTATGAACTGCAGTGTCTAAAGGAAGACTAGACAAACTTGTTGAATCCAGGGAAATCCAAAACTGTCTTTGAAGACCTTAGAGGTAAATGGGAAGGGTTGACGAAGAATAGCCTTTTACTGCTTTTAAACTGTGTACTTCTTCAGTTTTCATAATTTGCATTAATAGCCTCAATCATTGGCGGCCCCACGGCGTATGGGTTAAATGTGGGCGCTCCGCTGCTGGGGGCCCGGGTTCGGATCCTGGGTGCGCACCGACACCGCATATCAGGCCACGCAGAGGCGGGGTCCCACATAAAGCGGAGGAAGATGGGCACGGATGTTAGCTCAGGGCCAGTCTTCCTCAGCAAAAAGAGGAGGATTAGCATGGATGTTAGCACAGGCGCTGATCTTCCTCACAAAAAAAGAAAATAGCCTCAATCATCAGTTAAAGAAGCAGTATACATCAGAGATAACTTTTCTACTTTTAAATGTAAGCAGTACCTCATTAGTCATCTTTTGAATTGCAGATACACCCAGCCGGCGACAGTCACCACACCCTGTCTGTATTTACTGTGTCAAGAATAAATCTGGCTAGGTTGCTTTGTTGTTACAACGACAGACCAATTATTTAAAGCTCAAGTTCAAGTTCATATATTCTGATTCCTCAGTTGGTTTTCATATCATGACAAAGGAGCAGCTTCCAGGTGAGAACTTTATCACAATGACTATCCACTGATGGCAAGTTTTGGCATATTGCATTATGTAATATTTGAGTATGATGTGTTTTGTGGCTGGAGCAAAGAAGCACTTAATATGGTTAATTTTGCTGAGGCCATGCTTAGAAAGTTCTGATCCCAAGGCAAAATGCCACACATACTTCCTTCTGGTATTTAGCTTTCTACCACAGCAATAGAATTCACTCCAAAACTTTTACAGTTATAGATATGAGAGAACGTTTTATAAATATTTTAAAAGATGCCAGTCTTGTTTTTCTCCTGTCCTATGTTTTAGACTAGGACTTTATCTTAATGATTCTACTTCCTCTTATTATTTACCTGTCTTTCAAGTTAAAATTGTGCACCAAGGTTTTGCTGATAGAGCCATTTCTGGACAATTTTTCTTTGAGCAGACTTCATGTTGACCAGGCAAGCTACAAACTTAATACATTATTCATTTAACAATGCATAGAACAATTAATTGAATGCACAGAACAAGACTAGGCATCTACTAGAGATGCAAGTACTTTTGTCTAAAAAGGGTCCTTTTAAAATATATGTATATATTAATTGTTCCATAATTTGAGGCAGTAGTCTTGCCATGAAGTATACTATTGTCCTGGAAAGGAATTCTTATTAAATTAAGAACAAAAGTGCACAAGTTTAAAAGTTATTAATTATATTATACAAATAGTATGTCATTATATTGTTTGGTTTTGAGAGAGCAATAACCAGCTCAAGACCAAGATAGTAAAAAATCTGCCAGTACAAATTATTCACGCTATTTAGAATTTTAAATAGAATTTGAGGAAAAACACCCAATTAATTAAGCCTAAGCTTTAGTTTCCTCATATGTAAAAATGGCAGTTTGTTGTGTTAGATTAAATAAGGTATATAAAGCACCTACCATTATACCTCACACAACCTAAATCAAGTTTGTTAGCTCCTCCTCTGTCTCTGAAATCAGTGGTGTACCTAGCACATGTGACACCTGATATAGATCCTTCTTAATACCTTCCTCTAAATGAGAAAATTATTTTTATTAATAATCATGATATGAAAAATAATATAGGCCAGACAGAAATGCAGAGATTGAAAAATATTTTATTGGTCTTCAAATATGTAATTATGCTATTAAAATTTTTTAAACAAAAGTTTAAATAAAATAATCATATTTCAAAGAAGGAAAAAATAGATTAACACTTTTTCATTGTATGATTTTTTTTTTAAAAGGGGAAAAATATGAAGAAATGCTTCCAAAGAAAGAACCACGTAAGGTTCAGAGAATGATCTGCACATGGAATAATAGAACTGAAACTATTCTTTTTTTATTATGTATGTATGTATGTATGTACGTATTTGTGTGTGAGAAAGATTGTCCCTCTTCCTCTATTTTGTATATGGGAGGCGGACACAGCATGGCTTGATGAGTGATGTGCAGGTCCACACCCAAGATCTGAACTTTAGAACCCTGGGCCACCAGAGCAGAGCACACAAACTTAACCATCATGCCACTGGGCGAGCCCCAAGAACTGAGACGATTCAACTTCTGTTTAGGCATCTTCACAATCATGGTGCTATCACTGTATATTTTGAGTCTACTCTTTACAGGTAGGATTTATATATTACCACAGTAATTGGAGATACAAATTAATTTCCCCATAGAATATAACGTTGATTAAAAGATAAGTAATAAAAATCTACTCATTTTTACTCTGAGGCTTATACATATGTTATTAAAATTGAATAGAAACCACAGCATTTATTTAGAATTTACATCAGCGGTTCTCTGCTGTGGTGATTTTGCCTCTTGGGACATTTGGCAATGTCTGGAGACATTTTTGGTTGTTACAACTGGGGGGAAGAGAATGCTACCGAATGGAGCTAAACATCCTAAGATGCACAGACCAGCTTCCCACAACAGAGAATTATCTGGCTCAAAATGACAACAGACTGAGAAACCCTGACTTGGACTAACAAAAGATTTTTTTCAGGAAGAGTATCTTTTCATTGGCATTGTTTACAATTGATGGCACATAGTGATAATAAAAGCAGACTGATTATAGTTATATTTATGATTGTTAAACAATAACATAGACAATGCACTCACTACCTTATTGCCTGCACCCAGGTCTAATCATTCAATTTCCATTATATTTCTCCTTCCAACGGACTGCCACTTCAAGTGAGGGTTAAATGAGATTTCTACTTTTAAACTATTTTTAAATCTCTCTAGTGATGGTTAAATGAACCAGAGCTTAGCAACAGGTGATTTATGTGGCTATTTTCTGTTTACTACTTATCTTATTCAATTTTTTAAAATATAATTTAAAAATGTTAAGTAACAGTTTTATTTAAATATAATTCACATACCAAAAATTCACCATTTCAAAGTGTACAATTCAGGAGTTTTTAGTATATTCATAAGGTTGTGTAATCAACACCACTATCTAATTTCAGGACACTTTCAT